TGATGTCAACGTGGCTGCTTTGAAATGTCATGGTGGGGATCACTCGAAGTAAAGTAATTTTTGTGACATTGCGGTTGAGGTCCGGCGGGGAACACACCCATCCGGAGCTCGCGGTTCGAGGTCCGGCGGGGAACACTGCCGTCCGGAGCTGGCGGTTGAGGTCCGGCAGAGAACAACACTGCCATCCGGAGCTGGCAGTTGAGGTCGGACGGGAAACACAGCCATCCTACACTTGCAGTTGAGGTCCGGCAGGGGACACTGCCAGCCGACACTTGCGGTTGAGGCCCGCCAAGGCGGAGGACCAGGAGGACGAGGAGGACGAGGAGCAAGGCAGCTTACATAAATCTAACAACCCTCACCTGACAGGTCGGGAATGTTTGCTCGGCAGTGAACTTTTGAGCACTCATCCGTGTTGCATCTGGTTCAGCTTACCATGGAGGCCGTTGTGGATGCGCTCGAACGAATCCACCTTCATGAAACTCACTGGCTTACTGTAATTGATGCTTGGCACGCTGAACAACCAACTAAGGCACTAAGGTCACGCAGCCATGGCACAAACCCATGAGTGTAACAATAAAGCAAAACGACGGCTAGCAACTCTGAGTGCGCCGCCCACTTTTGCAAGCCTGCAAATTGCTTTGCCTTCTCGCCACCACCAGAGCTGACTTGCAAGAAGCCCTCGGGAAAAACAGAACATAAATTAACATAAACTTAACGTTACGAGCTTTGCTCTAACAACATGTGTACAGCAGCAATATTCTTCACAGTCCTCGATGCCATCTATCCTCGCAGCAATCTTCTCGTCCAAGATCAGCTGGACCAGCAACGAAACTACCTTCACACCGCCCTTTTAAGGTGCCACATTGCAAGCGTGGTTGCATTCCGACAGGGTACTGACAAAGAACGATTGCCCCTTTTGTTCTCCAAACGAACCTCACCTCTTCACTGGTGACATTGATTTCCTTGGCCAAGAAATCCAAGCTGACACATCGGTAGGGCTTGATGAGGTTCTGCAACACCTGTCAACAGTGGCTGACGCAAGTAGAAAATACTCCATTTGCGGTGCACTGAAAAGACCTGCAGGAGCAACACAATGACGTGCACCAAGCATTCAAACGTTATCAACTCTCTGGCAGGGATCCTATCAGAAACCCTTCCCACGCAAAACACATCAACATCGGCGTTGCGTTGGGCCGGGCGGTATGCAAGGGTGGTCGGCAGCATTTGCGCGTTTTATCATATCAAATAGTTTGTATACTGTATACACTTGTGCCTTCTTCATGCACGGAACAGCAGTGCGCTGGCAATCCCGGGTGACTTTCCTCTGAAGACATGAAGCCTTGAAGCCTTGAAACGACGACCTGAAGCCTAGTGACGACCTGAAGCCTTGAAGACCTGAAGCCTGGTGACGACCTGAAGCCTTGAAGACCTGAAGCCTGGTGACGACCTGAAGCCTTGAAGACCTGAAGCCTGGTGACGACCTGAAGCCTTGAAGCCTGGTGACGACCTGCTTAGATGGGCTGGGGTGTTGCTAACAGGTTAACAAAATTAACATAATTAGCTAACAGTTATTAACTAGTTATAACTAGTTAAGGATGTTAGTTTTTTTGCACCATTAACATCAAATTTTCAATAAAAATGTTATAACTTAGAATTAAGATTTTAAAGCAAATTGAACATAGAAAGCAATGGAAACTTGCAGCCCAATGTGTGGCTCAAAAACAAAAAATGAAAGCCCTGCAAGGCTAATGAAAAGTGAATTGATTGGTTAGCACTCAAACACCAGCTATAGACTCTTAACACAAACCTTGTTCAATGTAACCCATCGCATCTTCATTGCATAGAATGCACAAAAAACACATATTTTTCACTGACTGGCCAACAAATATGGTGGGGTGAGACAAGTGACTTTGCCTTTGGCACTTGAATATGTCACTGAACAGAGGATTTCTTCCAAAGACACAAATGTCAAGTGTCTGGGAGAGGGCACATTCCATTTTGACACCAATGTGGATAATGCCTTGTCTCCGGTACTTCTCCACAAAGGCAACCTCCCCATAGGAAAATTGCAAGAAGCAATGGACTTGGCCAGCGCAGAAAGGCAATGAGGATGCTGATTGTAAATATATCACATCACCACTTGTGACGGTAGCCCCAGAAGCCAGTCTGCAGGTTGAACTGCACATGCATGCGCTGTCAAGAAATAACAATCCACTGCTTTGAAGTGCTGCCATCATCTTCTTGGTGGGCTGTCTGACATTTTCCAAAAAACATCCTTCCCTGAAAGTTTCCTCATGTGTTTCCAATGAATGCATATGCTCAGCAATCACTGAAGCCAGCAAAGCTTTTTCATAGGATGATGTGTTGCAGAGCAAATTTGCATGTTTCCTGATGTCCTTATGCTTTCTTTCCAAAGACCAAACCCCAGGGAGTTGACCATGGAGTTTCAAAGCATCACTGAAATGCATAGCCCAATGAAACTTAGGCCTGAACTCTTCTGACCAACCTGCACTGATGGTAGAAGCCAGCGCTGCTTCCACCAACTCAAGCAAATGTTTGTCGCAAGGCCTTTGCAAGGAAGGAATTGCCACACAATAGGTCAAGACTTTGCACCAATCCAAGAAGCATCGACAAGCTGCAATGCATAGCCCATGTGGAATGCAACACAAATCCACATAATATGCAAGGATTTCACAAACTCCAAGCATTTCACTCGCTGAGCACTTGAATTTAGAAGCTTTCTTGTGAGATTCGACTGCTTTGGGTTCAAAGAGCCTGCGCACATCCACCTTCCCTTTCTTTGGGTGCACCCACAATGTGACAAATCCATGAAGCTGCTTCCAGATGCCCACCTCACCACTGTCATACAATGATTGGATCAAAAGAAATGTAATAAAGGTCAATACACCAGTGGAAGCCAAGCCATGCATAAAGTCATGCATGTACTGGGTGATGGGTTGCAAAATGTTTTGCTTCTTAAGTATAGGACTGGCCAGAAGTGCTTGGTCAGACCAGTCAATGCCAGCTGCTTGACACCAAGTCTTCATTTCTGCCTTGCTGCATGAAGAGGCTCTGCTCTCCATCCTTGACCATGAACTCAGGATTTCTTGGTCACTGGCAATGTCAAGTTGGCTGTGCTTGATGTATTTTGAAATTTCTTTTTGGCCTTGATCATCATCTTTGGATGTTAGCCTGAAAATGTTTTTGCAATGCATACACACCCTGGAACCACTGTCTTGCTTATTGGAGAATGTGAATTTTTGAGCGCTGCCATCCTGAAGGAAAAATCCCAAAGTCCAAAATAGCTTCAACCTCGAAGTCCCCCTTTGCAGCAGCACCCCAGCATGGGGGTGTGCAAATGGGTTCTCAAACATGTTTTCAAGGATCAGTCTGAAGCATTGGTCAATGTTGGCTTGCAGCTGCGCCACCTGGTCAGATCTGGTGGTTAATAAAGTAAACCACAGGTCAGACTTTGATAGGTCTCTACCAAATTCAGCAAAGGAAAAGTACAAGGCCCATGTCTTCCTTGCCCCACTGGCCAATTGATTGCCTGGGTGAAGTTCGTCAGAATAGAATATGCACTTCCATGGTCTATCAAAACTGCTGGGGCACTTGGCATGTACCCTTTCAAGGTACAAAGCAAAAGCACCTCCTGCAGCATAAGCCCCTGCCAGGTAGCTGAATATATTGCCAAACACTAAGGTGTCTGATCCACCACTCAAAGTGACAGCTGATATTGTGACCAGCAAAGGCCCATACAGCTGCAAACTTTGGACCAATTGCTGGACACTGGACCTGATATCTTTCCTTTTGTGGCACTCAGGTATGCCCTGCTCTTTGGCAAGTGTAAGAATTGCTGCCAGTGCAGATTGGCTACAGAAAGGCACCCTTTGTCTGAAACTTTGCAGTTTAGCAAAGTCTGGCATTGCCCAAAGAAAGCAAATCTATGTTCACTACAGTGTTGGTGCTTGGTTTGGTAAACATAATACTGACTGTATCAATGGCATGTGAAAATATGCATGTTGGGACACTTGTAAGAATGGCTGCATGCCTGTAGCAGAGCTGTAGGCTCTTGGGCACCCTTGCATGGGGCTGCATGGCTTGAAATGTTTTATCATGGGGGCAGCAACTCAACAACTTAAATTGTTTTGAAGCATTTGGCCTTTTTGAACTCAACATGAAAGCCCTCAAAGGCTGAAGTGTAAATGAAAGCTCAAATAGCAAACATTCAAAATCATACTTCTGTCAAATGAAGTGTGGAGAAAAGCAACATGCATTTGCAGTTGTTCAGAAAGAAGCTCTCAGAACAAATGCTGGCGGTTTGCAATTTTTTGCAACACAGCTAAAGGTCATGTCACACCAGCCATGCTTGGTTTGCATGGTTCATGCCTAAAATGGCAACCCCAGAACTTGGCTCAAGAGCCACAGGATTTGAGCAAATGTTTTCACTTGCCAGCATCCTGTTGCTGCTTCCAAGTAACCCACTCTTGTCTGGATGAAAATCTCAGACCTTGAAAGTTTGGATTCCAGCAGGATGAACATCCATTAGTGTTCCCACGAAACCTGATGCATCCAAAAATGCCTTTCTTCACAAAAGAAGCAGGCTGGCTGCTGGAAGAGGAAGACTTGTTCTTGGCCTTGGCTTTTGGTTTGGGTCCAGGCTTTGCTTTGCAAGCAGCTGGTCTCTTCATGGCACAGTCCAAGCTCTTTGCTTTCCTTTTGGAAATGCTTTGGTGTGCTAGAGCTTCATACTCTTCCAAACTCATGCTGGGCTTGTCCTTGGTGATGTTATTTTCTTTGGTGTCATCTTCAGAGGGACTTGTTGAAGGCAAAGGCAAAGGTGCAGATTCTGTTGCTGGAGGTAAAGCTTTGGCATTCAACAAGCCTGGCTGATCCTCCTGACCAGAACTGCTGCCACTGCCACTCCTGGGGAAATCCTGTTTATCTCGATCAGACATCTTCAGGCTGACAAGTTCATCTAAAATCTTTGCCTTGTCCAAGACAGCTGTCATCAGCTTGCTGTTCATTGCCATTATGTTCTCCATGTGGCTGCTCATGCCACCAGAAGAAGGATCTTGGCTGGTGCCTGAAGACTTGGCAACCAGCTGACTCAGCTCTTTTGAGCTGCCCCTGATTTTAATTTGCTGGCCAACACACATTGCACAGGAAATAAGTTTCTCAGGTGCTCTTCTCAGAGGTAGGTCATCAGGGCTGTAGACAGCTGTCATGAATGCCTGAAGCTTTTGACAAATGCTCTAGCACAAATTGCTATGTTCCAATGAGATTGTAAGAGCTTTGGAAAATATAAGTCACACTATAAATGTGTTCCAGTTTTCAGCAACCAGGCCTCCCCCAACTCATAAGGGCTTGGTGGATATTTGGACAAGCCCCCATATAAAGGGTCCACAGCAAGGGCCCCAAAGGCTGCAGAGACAGACTGTGCCATGGAGTACATCTGCTACTTGGAGGGAATTGTGTTCACAAGCTGCATCTGCAAAGCAACCAGCATGCAAGTGATGAACTTTTTGGTGTCTTCTTTCAAGCTCTTCAATCCACAAAGTTTGATCCTCTTGATCAGGATGTGGCTTGCTTCCACAGTGGTACACCCTTCAGCTTGGATCTTGTCCCACTCAGACTTGCAAAGGTAGTTCCAAGGCATAGTCATGCTTTGGGGTTTAATTTGCAAAGTGGCTGGGCCTTCAACACCAGCTGCACACTTGCTTTCAATGCTGGTGGACAAAGCCTTCTTGGTCTGGTCAGGCAAAGTAGTTTTTTCCAAGCAGTCCATGATCTTGACATAGTTGGAGGGTGTGATCAACTGTGTGCATTCAATCTTCGACACCAAAGCTTGCTGCATCTTTGGCAAGAGATCTGAGCTATGGTTCCTCATGCTGATAACTTCCATGTCTGCAATTTCTTTGAGGAGATCTTGCACATCCCATGAAGCCATAGCCCCAACACAGCTAAACTGAGCTGAGCTACACTTTTTCCAAATCCAAACAGCTAGCGCAATACCATA